AGCTTCTCATCTTCACATCACATTTTCACATCTTCTGATCTTCACATCTTCTCATCTTCACATCTTCACATCCTCACACCCTCACATCTTCACATCCTCACATCCTCACATCTTCCCATCTTCCCATCTTCTCATCTTCACATCTTCACATCCTCACATCCTCACATCTTCACATCTTCTCATCTTCACATCACATCTTCACAACTTCCCGTCTCCACATCTTCAACACATCTTCAACACATCTTCTCATCCTCACATCTTTGCATCCTCACATCCTCACATCTTCACATCCTCACATCTTCACATCTTCATCTTCTCATCTTCACATCTTCTCATCTTCACAGCTTCTCATCTTCACATCACATTTTCACATCTTCTGATCTTCACATCTTCTCATCTTCACATCTTCACATCCTCACACCCTCACATCTTCACATCCTCACATCTTCACATTCTCTCTTGCCCTCTTGCTCTCTTGCTCTCTTCTTTTTCCTTCGTTTCTATTTCTCTCTTAAGGCGCGGGGCAGTGCCAACGAGACGGCACGAAACGCAACCCTTTCGTACGAAACGAGGTTCGATCGCCAAAAACTGCGGTGAGATTGTTTGAAGTGTCGGTCGCAACCCTTTCGCACGAAATGAGGTTCAATCGCCAAAAACTGCGGTAAAATTGCGATTTTGAAGCGTCCCGCGCAACCCTTTCGCACGAAATGAGGTTCGATTTAGAGGCGTCCGGCGCAACCCTTTCGCACGAAACGAGGTTCGATCGCCAAAATCTGAAGTAAAATTGCAATTTTAACGGGTCCGGCGCAACCCTTTCGCACGAAATGAGGTTTGATCGCCGAAAACTGAGGTAAAATGGTACTTCTGTGTGTAAAAAGTGCCTGTGTGTAAAAGCGTCTGTGTGTAAAAGCGTCTGTGCGTAAAAGCGTCTGTGTGTAAAAGCTCCTGTGTGTAAAAGCTTCTGTGTGTAAAAGCTTCTTTGTGTAAAAGCTCCTGTGTGTAAAAGCTTCTGTGTGCAAAAGTGTCTGCGTGTAAAAAGCTTCTGTGTGCAAGTCAAAGTGTCTGTGTGTAAAAGTGTCTGTGTGTAAAAAGCTTCTGTGTGCAAAAGCTTCTGTGTGTAAAAGTTTCTGTGTGTAAAAGCTTCTGTGTGTGAAAGCTTCTGTGTGTGAAAGCTTCTGTGTGTAAAAAGCTTCTGTGTGTAAAAAGTTTCTGTGTGTAAAAGCGTCTGTGTGTGTGTAAAAGCGTCTGTGTGTGTGTGTGTAAAAGCGTCTGCGTGTAAAAGCGTCTGCGTGTAAAAGCTTCTGTGTGTAAAAGCTTCTGTGTGTAAAAGTTTGCTGTGTGTCAAAGCTTGTGTGTGTCAAAGCTTCTGTGTGTAGAAGCGTCTGTGTGTAAAAGCGTCTGCGTGTAAAAGTGTCTGAGCGTATGGGAAAAATCTTCTGTGCGTAAAAGCTTTTGTGTGTAAAAGCTTCTGTGTGTAAAAGCTTCTGTGTGTAAAAGCTCCTGTGTGTAAAAGCTTTTGTATGTGAAAGTGTTTGTGTGTAAAAGCTTCTGTGTGTAAAAGTTTTTGTGTGTACAGGCTTCTGTGTGTAAAAGCTTCTGTGTGTAAAAGCTGCTGTGTGTGTGTGGGTTTGTGTGTGTGTGTGTGTCTGTGTGTATATATGTGTAAACATGTTTCTCTGCGTGTGTCTGTGTTTGAGAGCCTATCAGCATATCTGTATGTTTGTATTTTTCACATCTTCAATAACCTTCTATACAACATACCTTGTCTGTCTCTTGCAACTAAAACCCTGACATCTTCACATCTTCTTATCTTGACATCTACACAGAATGAACATATTCACATGGTCTCAAGTAACATTATCATGAACATATTCATGCAAGTCTTTGGCGTCTGCAAATCATACAACTACATAACATAACACATCTGAGTACCTATACACCTACTCGCTCTCGGGCCAACCATCGTCTAGTTTTTTTTCATGTCGCAAGCCAGCCAAACCCATTCATTCCATCTGCCCCTACGACCTGACAACCATCTTCTCTGTTTCGTTCCAAAATGGGTCAAAATGCGCTGCTCAGCACCAGTTGCGGCCTAAAATTCTGTGCTGTTGAAGCCTTGAAGGGACTTGACAATTAAGTAGTATTGTGTTGGCAAAGTGACAGCTGTGAGGTTCAAACCCACGCCCTGACGGACTGGCGCCTGAAGCCAGCGTCTTAGACCATTCGGCCAAACTGTCTTGGACACCAGCCTGAAATGAATACAACATGGCTTTCTTCATGCCTGCAACCTTTAACGGTCATTTGCCCTTCCTTAGGCAGCGTCCTTATCGTCTAGTGGTTAGGACGTTGCGTTGTGGCCGCGACAACCCAGGTTCGACTCCTGGTAAGAACATTGCACAGATCCATGCCTGTCTGCCTCGGCCAACAATCAAGCTCAGCAGACTTATCTTCACATTGATTAAATGACCCCGGTAGGACTCGAACCTACAATCCCCGGCTCCGTAGGCCAATGGTTTATCCATTGGGCCGCGGGGCCTTCTAGACTTCCCGACCAAGTTACAACTTCCACATCTCATGGCAGATCACTTTAAAATACTTTAACCGCGATTAGATGCCCACCGCCCCAAGCACCTACCTTCCCCTTTCCCACTTCCGCGCCTTTGCAGGCACTTTCCAACAGAGCCTCCTATGGGGATCGAGCTTAACGCGCTGAAGGTCGCCAGTTCGATCCTGGCTGGGTGTACTTCTCACCATTGCTTCCGTTCCCACATACCTTGCTGAAACCTTTACTTTGGTTGCTGTCACTTTGTTTGGCACAGGGATACCTTTCCTAGTGGTTAGGACGTCTCGCTGTAAAAGTCCCTATAGAATTCAAAAATAATCTCTTATAATATTTTTTATATCTATAAGTCTATAAAATTAAGACCAATAACCTTGTGGTCAATTATGGCTGAATAAAATCAAACACCCGGGGTCCGCAGCCATTTTTTGACAACCAATTGAAGAAAAAAAATCGATATATTTCTGTACAATCATTTTCACACCCCGCTTCCACAAAATTTCTTTACACAAATTTAATTACAACTCTACAAAATCACAACTCCTCCCAGCCATGCACATCCCAACTCCGAATTCTGTAAAAAAACCAGGATCGGCCCAGGTCAAAAACTAAATACTATCAACATCCAAAAAATTGAAAGAAAGATGAGCGTCACCAGCGGTGGGAAAACCGGCAAAAACGCTATCTTGGGACCAATATTTGGCACTTCCAATCAAATGCATAATACCGCATTCCTGCGACGATTATTTCCTTATAAAACCTTCTTCACAATCTATGTAGCCTTGGCCACCCCACACTGAACTATATTTCCACATAAAGTAGTATCGGCATATCCAAGATGAAGACTAGCTTGTATGTGGACAACACTCCTGCAACAAGGGCCCCTTTGAAAAAACAGGAATCCTTTACAACAAATGTGGGATGGGTTCAAACCGTTGAAACACGAGCCTTTCAATATGTATAGCAGCCACCTTGAATGGACGCAGTAAGCAAGTATCCCATGGTTCCATGTAATATTCCTTTGACAAGGAGCAGGATCTACTTGAGAAAGTGCAATATCATTCAATAGGCAATATCTAATCCTTTTAGGGGCGTCTGGCTTTCCTTTCAGAAAGGCACCCTTCTACAGTGACACTGGAATTGTATTATCCAAACAGTGATGCATTCCTGTCAAACGTGTTGAATACCTCTGTGCATGATTCCCTAGACAAGAATGCTTTATTCTTTTGAGAAAATTCAGCCTTACTGGAAAAGAGATTCCTTCAGTGCAGCAGCAAAATCATGTGAAACCCCGGGAAAATGCATTCTCAGTAGAGGTGGCAGTCCTGCCGGAAGAAGGTAGCATCGTTTCGAAAGAAAGTGTATGCAGCAATGCTATTGTAAAAGGTCATTACATTTTAAGCACGCACTGCTATACCAATTCCACTTCATGTCGGGCTCTCTGGCCGGCACTCTGTTGCGAAACCATTGGGAATTCAATTCCAGGGATGAACCTCACCAATTCAAATGTCAGAAAACAAAAAAACAAAAAACAACAACAAACAAACAAAAAAAACAAAGATTTGGGAGACATGTGGGGTCCTGACATAGTCCCATTTTTTTTGCTTTGTTTGTTTTGTTTTCTGAGACTTGGATAGGTGAGGTACATCTCCGAAATTGAGGTCTCAATGGTTTACTAACCAATGAGATGGACATGAAGGGCCAAATGAGGCATTTTCACACATGCCCAAAAACGCACCGCTCACAGAGCCTTTTCTGAATTGAAAACGAATAACCGCTAAAGACTATAAAATATTTTTTATACAGCCCCTAGCGGCCCCTTTTAATGGTGGTATCCAGGCACCATATATATATATATATATACACACATACAATACGAATCCTTCCGAAAGTAATGTTTCAAAACTCCTGTCTCCAGTTAAAAGCCAGGAGCATTGACGCGTTTTTGCGGATTTTCGCGTCGCCTGTTGAAATCATCCAGAATATCCCGACATAATTGCCAAGGACAATCTGCTGGAAATGTGGGCAGTTATGAGGCATAGGAGAGGTAAGGTTGAATATGGCGACAAAGAATTCACACATTGGCAGACGGGATCCTTGAAAACAGTTTCAGGTTTGCTTCCCCAGATTTTCAATGCGAAGCCGATGACAGACATGTTTGCAAACATGAGTGAGCGACTTACTGGACATGTTAAAACCAGAAAATGCTACTGCGCGCTGGCACAAACCTAACGCCTAGGTGCGGAAATGCCGTAATTGGGGGCCCGCTACGCAACGCAGATAAAAAACTCATTGTATGCAAGTCGTTTCACAATGTGATCTATTTTTCTTGATTTGGGGTTTTGACCGGGCTCCAAATTGTTATTCCGAACAGCACATGCCTTTTAAAACTAATTGCAGTATCTGCTTCGCAATCTTCACGGGGGATAACTATCTAGACTTTTCGAAATCGTTTCCTCGAAATCCATATGAAGCGCGGTCTTGACAGCAGCGAGATTTTGAATTTGGGGCATTCGATTTGGAATGGCCGATCTTTTTCGAAATGGGCGATCTTTTTCGAAATGGCCATTTTGGAGTCAAAGGTGATCTTCGACCATTTTAAAGCAAGTGTTGGTTTCCCAAGTTTGAAGATAATCTTTAACGGACATCCAGGTCATAGGATGTAGAATAAAAACGCGCTCGCAGACAAGCACTTCTCTTCACAGGCCTGCGCGTTTCAAACTCTTGCAACTAGATTCATTTCAGCCAAACGTAATCCAAACGTTGGCCAGACGGCAATCCTTAGAAGGCTTCAAAGGAGTGGGCCCGTCCGGTTGAAGCGCCTGTAGCTTGTGGCGCATTAGCAATGCCAGTTCAGTACCTTGAAGGCGGCCTCCAACTCGATTCTAGCCAAGCAACATCTACGAATGAAATTAAGTGAACCCACACGAAGAAGACCTCGCTTCCTCTATCTTCTTCATTTGCATATATCAGGCCGCCAAACTCTGAAAAACGTAGGGGCAAATGCATATGGAAAAAGACAAGCGGAGGGAACTTCCCCCCAAAAAATGAAAATATGGATGTTGAAGAGGAAACATGTAATTCAGCAATTCCGGACTTTTACCCATCAATAGAACATCAGTCAAAAGATCCTATAAACACATGAAGCTTAAAACGCATGGCTTTCAAACGCCAACTGCCTACTGCAATGGCCACGCGAAGCCCTGGCTAGCGCGCAGAATTCCAAAAATGCTAAGGTCCTGACATTGGCCGACTGTGCAGCTGCGTGGTGGGCTAAGCCAAGCCTTTTGTTGAAGATGTTGGAAGGGGCGCGCAATCCATTTCCCTTCCATGCCCTTCCTCAAGTTTCACAATGCACTGTTTGAAACGCAGCTCGTGCAAACCAATTTGTTGACCGCCCAGTTGAACGAATTCACTTCCTTCCCATCTCAACTCTCATGAGTCTTGCGCTATCGATGTCATACGGTAAATTTTTGCGGCTGAACTTTTGATGCCCCCCCCCATCAGCCTTCTTATCAGCCCAAAGACATCAAACAGCCCAGCTTGCAACAGTAGGGCTTCCTGAAGGTCGTGGTAACGTAAGCGTCAACCTTTTTGTCCCCCTAGAAAAAGCTATCTCCTTCCAGGCGGCTTCCAAACCCTCTTCTTCATCTTCTTCGTCGCTTTCATCAAATCTGCCCTTGGCTCTAGAAGTGGTGGGGAGGGCCCTGTGGGACATTGAGGCCAGGTATGGAATGGAATGGAGGGACCCTGCTTCATGGTTGAGAGGCCAATGGCTGTCTGAGATTGCAAATGCCAGGTGGGTGCTGCTTCATCACTTTGCAATGAAAAGATCGCCATGCAACAAACTGAATTCATCCCCACTATGGTACCTTGAAAAGAAAGCGAGGTCCCATCTGAGCACTTTTTGGCAAAAGCGCGCAGGAGTGAACAGTTCTGAAGCTTTTCCACACTGCGCAGGACAAGGAGCCCAAATCCAGGATGTGGTGAAAGGAGTGCAAGCAAAAAGCCCTGCCTCAGTTTTTGTTGTCGTCTTCGCGGTCGCGGTCGCTGTTGCTGTTGCTGTTGGTTGTTTGTTGTGTTGTTGTTGTTGTTGTGGTGGTGGTGGTGGTTGTTGTTGTTGTTGTCGTTGTCGTTGTCGTTGTGGTTGTGGTTGTGGTTGTGGTTGTGGTTGTTGTTGTTGTTGTTGTGGTTGTGGTTGTTGCTGTTGTTGTGTTGGTTGTTGGTTGTTGGTTGTTGGTTGTTCTTATTGCATTGTCGTCCACGCACTCCGTTCATATGCGACCAGTGATTTGCAATTTCAAAGGCTGCGGCATCAATGACATGTCTTTGTCAGACATGTATTGGCTTACGACTGGCTTGCACCGCGCCTTGACTACAATTTGTGGTTTCGTAAATCTTTATGTATAAATATGTATATACGATCTGGATCCCTGAAGCACAAAAGAAAGCAACAGCCATCTCAGCTTTTTCACCTTCCTCCCCGGAAACGCTAACGCTGGGACAGTTTCCCAAGGCACCCCGTGCAGCACAGTGACAACGAAGAGTACAACGACCCCAAAGATGAACCACGGTCCTGATGCAGTCCAAATGCATCATCATGTCAACCTGGCCTGAAGCCAGCTCTAGATTCAATCAAATGCAGTTAGATCTTGTCCTGGGCAGCTGCGGGTCAAAAACCAACTTGTGCTGGTTGTCATTCGTTGTCCATTATGACCGATTCACAAAGTTATTCTTCTCATTTGTTTCTGTTGATCGCGGTCTTCTCAGCAGGAGGCGGCTGCAGCTAAATGCCCAGGGCTCTGACTCCACCAGTCGTTGTTATCGTCCTTGAGAAAAACAGCAGCTGTGGTTGGCTGGGGAAGCGGTGTGAACCCCTGGTCAGATGGAAGCAAAAACGTAGCCGCATTGATTTCTCGCCCCGGTTGACAGAACCTGAAGTCCAGGCACACCAAGTTGAAAGCATGTTATGCATTTCCCAAAAACAGCCACTCACAAAAACACAACAATGCCACTTCCCACCTCCCCCTCAGCAACACAATTGCTTTCACCGCCCTGCGCACTTTAGAGCTGAGAGTCGTCTAGGATCACATCCTTAGATGATATTTGCTACTTGCTCCCTCAAGCACAAGCAGCGAAAACTGAGAACCCGCCACATCCCACAAGCAGGATGTGAGCCCCCAGTATGAAGAACAGCTGCTTGTGAGCCCCCAGTATGAAGAACAGCAGCAAACTGGGTCATGCTGCTTTTGCTTGTAGGTAAAGATTTCAATGGAAAATCCACTGGCAGATTGGAAAGGGAAACGCACAGGCTTGCAGCGATGGACAATCCAACAAACCTTATGAGGCGGTGGATTCTATCGCAACGAATGCCGCCCCCAACACCAAATAGTTCCTTATTGCTTGATCATGCCGTGGCTCTCGAAACATCTCCACCTAACGGCACGTCACCTCTGTCTTTGAAAGAGTCACATACGTGCGGTGGGTTTCTTGCTTTCAAGTCGCCCTTACTACACCGCAAATATTTCAGAGTACTTCAGGGCAAGGAGCTTCAGTACAAGTGGCGAAAGGACAATGAAACGCATTCTTGATCTGCTTGCCTTGGATAAAAGCAGTCCCGTCCCACCGCATGGCACGCAAGTTTGGGATCACAAGGAGTGATCTTTCTTTGGAGTCATTGAATGGGGAATATGCGCAGATGTCTTGAAAAGTTGAGCCCAAACAAAATAAACCCTGCGTATGACTAAGGTAAATGGTTCTTCAACCTGCATCAAGTCAAGGTGTTTGCTGCTTGAGCTGGCTGACTTGGCGCAAACAGACTTGAAAAGCAGGACGTACTGGAAGTTGTTGATGGACCATGTTCAAATTCCACACGCTGACACTGCAGCATTCCTACTCCGTCTGGTTCCTGTGCACTTGCTCGTGCTATTTCTTCAGAATCCAAACTTCATGGTCTTTGGATAAGTAAACACATCTTCTTCAAATAGAGGTGAACTGAATGTATTGGTAGTCTTCTTGGCTGGTTCTGGTCCAAGTCGCCAAAGGACGAAAAACTGCTCGAGTTCAAGTTGGAAAATGGGTTCTGGCGCAGGCACAATGTGGCGGAAGGATATCAGCAAACATGCCCGTGACATTGAGACTATGGCATGGCAGGACCATGGACGAACTGAAGTCAGTAATCAAAACCAATCAGGATAATGGCAGGAGCTGGTTTGCTCAATCTAAATACCTAGACAAATAAACGCAGAGTACATAGATATAGACTCGCATACGTATCTATATCTGTGTCTATAGCCGAATAGGCCTATACAGATAATAAAATGAATAACTAATTACCAAAAAAGTAGCTAAACACAACTAAACAAATAAACGCAAATAAACATTAAAGGAACCAGAGAACCCCACGTGTTAATCCTTCCGATATCCCGTTCAGGTTGGGCCCGAGGGGTTGGGAACCGCATTCTGTAAGTACAGAATGGTGTGCCCAAGGTGCACCTCTTACAATTTGGCAGAACCCAACGTTCACAGACGTATTTTTTTGTTACAAAATGGCAGGCTAAGCTGACCCCTAGTTACAAAATGGTACCCCGATTTTGCTGGACTCGCATCCGCTCGCTCGAGCTGGGCCTTTACAGAATGGTCGGGACTGGGCCAAACCAACCCTTGAATACAATTTGCCAATATTTTCTAAGATAGGTTTTCCGACAGTTGGATGTCATGATTTAAATCATTCATGATTTAAATAAATCATCTCGAACATTCTCGTTGTTGGATTTAAGGCGAAAAAATGTCATTTTGTCATTCGGTTTTGTCATCAAACATATTTCATTTGTATTTTTGATGTTGTCGTCAGTGTACCAAAATTACTACACAGAAAATCTGAAAATTTCTCCAAAAACCTCCAGAAATAGCACGATCTTTTTAAAATAAACGATAAAATAACGAAGCGTTTTTGAATTTGTCATATTTTCGATTGTGTCATTTTGTCATTCAATTGCGTCTTTTTCCGAACAAGTGTTGTTTTCATTAATCGAAAAAGTAATTTAAGAAAAGGCTCTGCTGGTTCGGACGGCGACATTGGAGCTCGATGCATTCAATATACATTCTGCTTTTGAGATCTTTTAGACTCAGACTATGAGCATTATCCATGGACTTTTGAACCCGTCCAGTTTGTAAGGGGCTATGGTGTTACTGTTACCCTTCTAGTTTTGAATCCGTCCAGTTTGTAAGGGTCTATGGTGTTACTGTTACCGATCTAGTTTTGAATCCGTCCAGTTTGTAGGGCTATAGTTGAACATTATCCATGCCCGTTTTGAATCCATCCAATTTGCAATGGTCACTGATTAGCCCTCTTCAGACCCCGTACAGAATGGTTGGGACTGGAGAGTAGCGAAGCCCCAAAACCGATATAAAACATCGGGCCAGGGTGGGGTATCCTTACAATATGACTTCGCCCAAGGTCAAAATGTTGCACAAAATGGTGGCCAAAAACCATTCTGTACCGGCTTTGAGGTATCGCATTCTGTAACAAAAACTTCAATGGGGATCTTCCGATTGTTATGAGAAGAAGGTGATGACTTGGGATGGTGGGGGCGGAAAATGATCGGACCGGGGAGAGATACGTGAATAGACAGATAAAGAAAGAGATAGAGATGAAGATGAAGATAGAGATACAGATAGAGATAGTCAAATCGAGAGAGATAGTCAAATCGAATCAAATCGAGAGAGGTAGAAAGATAGAATGACAGAAAGGTGGATGGATGGGTGGCTGGATGGGCGGATCGATCGACAGATAGATAGACAGACAGACACCAATTTCAAACAGGCGCTTTTACACAAAGCAGCTTTTAGACACAGAAGCTTTTACACACAGGCACTTTTACACACAGAAGCTTTTGCACACAGAAGTATTTGCATGGAGACGCCTCTGCACAGAGAAGGTTTTATACGGGGCAGCTTTGACACAAAGGTCTTTTACTGACAGAGGCCTTTACGCAGAGCAGCTTTTACACACAGAAGCCTTTACACGGAGCAGCTTTTACACAGTGAAGCCTTTACACAGAGCAGCTTTTAAACAGAGCAGCTTATACACACAGACACTTTTCCACACAGACGCTTTTATACAGGGAAGCCTTTACACAGAGCAGCTTTTACATGCTTTTAAACAAAGCAGCTGTTACACAGAAAAACGTTTTCACGCAGAAACTATTACACGGGGCAGCTTTTACACACAGGCCTTTTCCAAACAGACGCTTTTGCTTTTACACACAGAGGCTTTTACGCAGGAAAGCCCTTATACAAAACAGCTTTCACACACGGAATCTTTTACACACACAAACACTCTTACACAAAGCAGCTTTTACACAGGGAAACCTTTACGCAGAGCAGCTTTTACACACAAACGCTTTTACACAAAGGCCTTTTACACACAGAAGCCTTTACACAAAGCAGCTTTAACACACAAAAGCTTTTACACATGGAAGCCTTTACACAGAGCAGCTTTTACGCAAAGCAGCTTTTATACACAAAAACTTTTACACCAGGACGCCTTGGCACAGAGCAGCTCTTACACACAGGCGCACCTAGAGAAGCCTTGATGCAGAGAAGCTTTTACACGCATATGCTTATACACAGAGGCCTTATAGACACAGACACCTTTACGCAAAGCAGCTTTTACACACAGAAACCTTTACACGCAGAAGCTTTTGCACAGAGCAGCTTTGCACACAGAAGCTTTTACACACAGACACTTTTACACACAGACGCATTTCCACACAGAAGCTCTTACACAGGGAAGCCTTTAGACTGTACACAGAGCAGCTTTTACACAAAACGGCTTCACAGAAAAGCCTTTACACACAGAAGCTCTTACACAGAGCTGCTTTTACACAGAGACCTTTTACACACAGACGCTTTTACACAGAGCAGCTTTCACACAGGGAAGCCTTTACACAGGGAAGCCCTTATACAGAGCGGCTTTTACACAGAAGCTTTTACACACAGACGCTTTTACACACAATTCCTTTGCACACAGGCGCTTTTACACAGGACAGCTTTACACACAGAAGCCTTTACAGAGAGCAAAATTATACACACACGCTTTTACACACAGACGCTTTTACACAGGGAAGGCTTTATATATACAGAGCAGTCTTTACACACAGAGAGATTTACACAAAGAAGCCTTTACACACACACACAGAAGAATTTACACAGAGACGCTTTACACACAGCCCCTTTTTCACAGGACAGCTTTGCACACAGCCGCTTTTACACACAGACACTTTTACAGGCAGACGCTTTTACACACAGACGGTTTTACACAAAGCAGCTTTTGCACACAAAAGCTTTTACACGGGGAAGCCTTTGCACAAAGCAGCTTTTACACACAGAAGTTTTTACACAGAGGCACACGCAAGCTTTTACACAGGGCAGCTTTTACACAAAGGCCTTTTGCACACAGACGCTTTGACGCAGAGCAGCTTTTGCATACGGCAGCATTTACACAGGGAAGCCTTAACACACACACAAGCTGTGAAACAGGATAGCTTTTACACAGAGGCCTTTTACACAAAGACGCTTTTACACAGAGCAGCTTTTACACACAGAAGCCTTTCCACCCAGAAGCTTTTACACACACTTTTACAAAGAGGCGCTTTTACACAGACACCTTTACGCAGAGCAGCTTTTACACACAGAAGCATTTACACAGAGAAGCCTTCAGACAGAGCAGCTTTGCACACACGCAAGCTTTTTACACACAGAAACTTTTACACACAGACGCTTTTACAGAAAGCAGTTGCACACAGAAGCTTTTACACAGAAAAGCCTTTACACAGAGCAGCTTTTACACGCAGAAGTATTTACACCGAGAAACCTTTACACACAGACGCTTTTATACACAGACGCTTTTGCACACAGACACTTTTACACACAGGCGCTTTTCCACACGAAAGCTTTTACACAAGGAAGCACAAGGGCTATCCGAAACAGCGCAAAGCCTTGATGGGATGCCTTTTTGGGCCTGTTTTGGGGCCATGCTGCGCCTATGCTGCGCCTATGTTGGGCCAAATGGGCTGCCAAGAATTGGTTTGGCGAACCCTGTTTCAAGCAAATCTTACGTCAGGGTTCAGAACGACCCCATCCGAAAAGGCACAAAGACCCCCATGGGAAGCCTTTCTTGGCCTTGTTTTGGGGCCATGTTGCGCCTATGTTGGGCCATACGGGCTGCTTGATTGGCGAGCCTTGACTTAAGTGTTGAGGAGGAGGACCGATCCCAAGACCGAGTCGAAATACACTTCAACATGTCACAAGAGCCACTTCATACAGAAATTTACAGGAAAAATGCCGCGGCCCAGAACCCAGGACCACATTGTGCGAGACCGCCGGGTCGCAATGCACCTCAACATTTTGCAAAAGCCACTTTACACGGACATTTACAGGAAAAATGCCACGCCCCAGAGTGAGCCCAGAACGCAGACAGCCACTTTGTGCGAGCCTGCGCGGTCAAAATGCATGTCATCATGTCACAAGAGCCACTTTATACAGAAATTTACATGTAAAATGCCGCGGCCCGGATTGAGCCCAGAACGCGGGCACACACTTTGTGCGAGCCTGCGCAATCGACATGCATTTCAACATGTCACAAGAGCCACTTTATACGGAAATTGAATGGAAAAATGCCGCGCCCGAGAATGAGCCCAGAACGCAGACACACACTTTGTGCGAGCCTGCGCAGTCGAAATGCACTTCAACCTTTGGCAAGAGCCACTTTATACGGAAATTTACAAGAAAAATGCTGCGGCCCAGCTGGAGTACCCTGATCAGGCACCAGCCTTTACAGCTACTGTAAGAAACCCTCAGTGTGGACACACTGTTTGGGGAACAAATGAGTGAATGAGTGAATGAAGCAAAAAATACATAAACAGAAAAAGAAGTAAATGAATTACTGAAAGAATGAACGAATGGACGAATGAACGAATGAAATGACATGAAGTGAGAATGAAAATGAAACGAAATGAAATGAGAACGAAAATAAACGAAATGAAAAAATGAATGAATGAATGAATGAATGAGTGAGTGAGTGAGTGAGTGAATGAACGAATGATTGAATGAATGAACGAATGAATGAGTGAATGAATGATTGAATGAACGAATGAATGAACGAATGAACGAACGCATGAACGAATGAACGAATGACATGAATGAAATGAATGAAATGAATGAAATGAAAGAAATGAAAGAAATGAAAGAATTGAAAGACATGAAAGAAATGAAAAACATGAATGAATGAATGAATGAATGAATGAATGAAAGAATGAAAGAATGAATGAACGAATGACATGAATGAAATGAATGAATGGTTGAATGACATGAATGAAATGAATGAAATGAATGAAATGAGTGAAATGAATGGAATGAATGAAATGAATGAAGTGACTGAAATGAATGAAATGAAATGATGTGACTGAAATGAATGAAATGAAATGAAATGAAATGAAAGGCATGAAAGAATTGAAAGACATGAAAGAAATGAATGTATGAATGAATGAATGAGTGAATGAACGAATGAATGAATGAACGGATGAATGAGTGAACGAATGAATGAATGAATGAATGAATGAATGAATGAATCAATGACTGAGTGGGTGAGTGAGTGAGCGAGTGAGGTGAGTGAGTGGACAGATGAATGGATGGATGGATGGATGGATGGATGAAGGAATAGTTTATACAAATAGACAAAGAACAAGTAAATCAATACACATGGCGGTATTGTCCACGAGGTACACAGCAGTCTAAAACCAACGCGCCTTGTCCCACAATATTGGAGCCACGGGCTTGCCTTGAAGCCGCGAATCTTGCTGTGTGGGTATGAATGGCAGAAAGGTGACCATGCCGAAGGCGACTTATGTTTGTCGATTTTGACTGTGGTCGGACTCCTGGAATGTCTCGTCTATGGGGACAACTCTGTTTTCGCACCTGCCAGGTGAGGGCCTCTAGATTTCACACTCAGCTTCCGTGGCGACAAAATACGAACTACATCTTTGGGGCACCGTCCGTCCCTCACTGCCCTGCTGTTTTTAGCAGGCAAGTCCAGCATTGTGGAGGTTGGAGGGGCGCAATTTGAAGGTAGTATATAATCCGAAGGCCCCAACGGAAGGGGGAGCGCTTCAGAAAAGAGATTACAAGCAGAAAGTGCCGAAAGACAGCGTTGAAGAACAGGATCCTTCACCTGCGCGCTGTTTCAGTGTGGCGGCGCGTTGGGTGTTATTTGGAGCTAGTTTTGACGTTTGGATACGGCAATGTCAGTTTGGCGGCCTGCGGGGTGGAATTTAGCGTGGAGCGATGTTAGGCACTACCAGCTGCAGGCTGAGGGCAGGATCCGTCCTGCACTGGCGCACTGTTTTAGCGCTACCAGCTGCTGAGTCGGGTAATGAGTTGCCAACTTGTAGTTGCTGACTCTTGGTTGCTGACCCGAGTAGTTGCTGGCTTGCGCGTTTTAGTTGCTAACTCTTGGTCGCTGAATCGGATGCACGTAGTTGCTTACTTAGTCAATGATCAAGCATCGGCACTTAATTCGGCTTGTCCACATGAGTATATATATATATGAATATGTACATACCAGTAGTACCCGCATGAGGCGGGGCGGAAGTTGCCATAGAGATATACTATAAGCTCTTTTTCATCTATAGAATTTGCATGCGCCGTGCGCCAGCCAGGCCCGTGCGTGTGCGCTTTGTGCGAAGCTGTTGCGCAGATGTTGTCCAAGAACATGACCTGCGCACGACCCTGGCGCAATGCAAAGCCAAGCAAACACTCTCCTCACACTTCACACTGCGCCCTTCACACTTCACACTTGCACTTCACACTCCACACTTCATCTCATCTCAAATCACGTGAGCTCCTCTCACCTCCTCCCACCTCATCTCAGCTCTTCTCATCTCATCCCATCTCTTCTCACATGTCATCTAAGTAAGTTCTTCTCAACTGTTTTCGTCTCATCCGAGCACTGATCAACCTTTCTCATCTCCTCGAAGTTCGCCTCAACTCATCTCAGCACGGCAGAAAGCTCTTACTGTGAGAGAGAAGTCTCTTGCACACAAAAACCATTGGGCGCAGAAAGCTTTTGCACACAGAGACTTGAGACACAGATGCATTTACACAGAAGAGCCTCTCCAAAATACTTTGTACCACAAAGCTTGCACAGAGCACTTCCCAGTACTACTTTGTACTACAAAGCTTGCTTCCCACTACTTTGAGCACCCAGTTACCCAAAGCTTACTTCCCAGTACTTTGTACTACAAAGCTTGCACAAAGCACTTCCCAGTACTACTCTGTACTACAAAGCTTGCACAAAGCACTTCCCAGTACTACTTTGTACTACAAAGCTTGCACAAAGCACTTCCCAGTACTACTTTGTACTGCAAAGCTTGCACAAAGTACGTCTAAGTACTACTTTGTACTACAAAGCTTGCATACTACTTTGTACTACAAAGCTTGCACAAAGCACTTCCCAGTACTACTGTACTACAAAGCTTGCACAAAGCACCCAGTACTACTCTGTACTACAAAGCTTGCACGCATTACTAGTTTGTACTACAAAGCTTGCACCCACTACTACTTTCTATTGCAAATCTTGCACACAGCACTTCCCAGTACTACTTTGTACTACAAAGCTTGTATAAAGCGCTTCCCAGTACTACTTTGTATTACAAAGCTTGCGTAAAGCACTTCCCAGTACTATTTTGTATTACAAAGCTTGCACAAAGCACGTTCCAGTGCGACTTTGTATTACAAAGCTTGCACAAAGCACGTTTGAGTACGACTTTGTACTACAAAGTACGACTTTGTACTACAAAGCTTGCACAAAGCACTTCCCAGTACTACTTTGTACTACAAAGCTTGCACAAAGCACTTCCCAGTACTACTTTGTACTACAAAGCTTGCACACCCAGTACTACTTTGTACTAAAGCTTGCACAAAGCACTTCCCAGTTCTACTTTGTACCACAAAGCTTGCACAAAGCACTTCCCAGTACTACTTTGTACTACAAAGCTTGCACAAAGCACTTCCCAGTACTACTTTGTACTACGAAGCTTGCACAAAGCACGTCCCAGTACTACTTTGTATTACAAACTCTGCGCAAAGTACGTCTAAGTACTGCTTTGTACTACAAAGCTTGCACACAGAAAGCTTTTACACACAGCAAGTTCTTTCGCAGAGAAGCTTTTACACACAGCAAGGTTTTACACAGAGAAGCTTTTACACACACCAAGCTTTTACACACAGCAAGCGTTTACACAAAGAACCCTTCTACACTGTGGAAGATAAGCCTAACAACCACTTGGCTGAGTACACACGGAACCTCCTGAGCCCAACTGCAGGCTCTTTTTGTGCACAAAGTAAAACAGTTGCTGCGCCACTTCGCCTGGGATTCATCCCGTGAATCTAGAGGTTATGAGCACAAGGTCGCCCAACTGAAAGCCATGGCGTGGAGTACAAGAGCTATGTCAAGAGTTGTGGATGGACTTCAAGGTGAGTACCGTGAAGAAGAAGAAGATCCAGCCCAAGGACATGGACACGATCATGGCAGAGGGCAACAAGTACATCCGTTCTGGAGCGAAGAGGTGCAAGAGGAACATCTCCTAGCCCAGGCGAGACCAAGAGGTCTACCAGATGAGACACTAAGTGAGAACCTGTTGGAACTTGACTTGGATGAGGACGAGCTGAGGACGGCAGGTGAGAGTACACCGCCAAAATGGCCTACGGGTGTTGCGACCAGAGGGACTTCAAGGAGTTCTAGTGATGGGGTCTCAAGGGATTCCAGGCTGCAGTCACTACTGGAGGCTGACATGGCAGAAGGTGGAACTGGCGTGCGGCAAAGGGGTGCCAGCATGGGGCTACTTGGACTTCAAGGACATGCTGGACAAGGACGGGGTCTTGGACAAGTTCAAGGCTCTAAGGTGGAACAACTAGCTCGATGGACGTCGAGCCCGCGAAGGAAAGGGACGGGGTCTTGGACACGTTCAAGGCTCTAAGGTGGAACAACTCGATGGACGTCGAGTCCACGAAGGAGGAGAACGGGATCTTGGACACGTTCAAGGTTCTAAGGTGGAGCACCTTGATGGACTTCAAGGCCACGGTGGTCGAGTGCGAGGTTCTGAACAAGTTCATGGCCCTGGACCAGAGCTACCTCCAGCAAAAGTTCGACGTTCTGCAGAAGGACTTGATGAGTTGGAGCGAGCCCTGGAAAAGAAGATGGTTGAAGAGCTTCTGCAGCAGGTGACAAAGCCGCAGAAGGAAAACAAGGCTCTAAGCAGCAGGGAGCGCGTGCCCCTGAAGAAGGAGGACGGCAACCTGAAAGGGAGCCACCAATGTGGGTAGCTATGACACCAGAGGCTACGCCACCAGCAACAAGGAGGACAACCCCAGGTGGGACAGCGGTGCCACCGATGAAGTCTTTGGCCCACCTCCCCTCCAAGGCCGTGGCAGGGACTCTGGATGGACCATACTGGAGCACGCCAGTGAACAGAGATGGAGGTCCATCTGCGAATCTTGGCCCACAACTTCCACAACAAGCTGCAACACCACTTCAAGATGTCCGAGAAGTTCAACCTGAAGTGCCGCGCAACGTGCCAATAACACTACCAGTGTTGAAAGATGTGACAGAACCTCAACCAGCATTGAGGGCAGGAGATTGGCTGACTGAGTTGATGCCATTGATCTCCGACGTGTCAGAAGGAGCAAGTACATGGTGCACAGAATCGCTTCAACAAGCCCAAGAAGCTTACAGTCGATGGTTGGCTGCAAGCCCTTTGGACAAGATGAGCGTTCAGCCCAACACCATGGTGGAGTCGCGCTACAAGAGGTTGGAAGCAAGAGTTTTGACCATGCTTCTGGCGGCAGTTCCAGCGATGGTGAAGCAGGAAGCAATTTCCACCAGGGAGTTGACGTGCGTGCAGCTGATCTACAAGGTCTTGAAGCAGTACCAGCCGGGTGAGTGAAAAAGCTGGTCTTCTCAACAGCTTGACAAAGGTGAGCCAAGCAAAGACGGCACTGGAAGCATCTGAGTCGCTGCGTCAGTGGCAACGACAACTACTTTGTGCCCAAGAACTTGGACTTCAAGCCCCAGACCCGTTGTTTTTGGTCGGATCGCTGACCGAGATCATGAAGCAGGTGCTTGGAAGAGACCAACAAGCGTCGTTCAGGGTCAACACGTTCAGGATGAGCAACATGGTTGATGTGGCGCCTACACAGGTGACTATGCAGTCCTACTTGCAGTTGCTCATCGCCGAGGCGGACCACTTGCACCTCAGTACAGCGGCAAGAACATCGACGACGTCGACGCCAGAAGCCAACCCGAAGTTGAAGGCTATGGGCAACGTCGAGAAAGGCAACAAAGGTCAAGGAAAGACTGGAGGTTCACCTCAAGGACAACAAGGAAGTCCAGTCACTTCGACCAGGCCGTGCAGACACTGGGGAACAGATGCAGGTTGCAAATTGGGACGTGCAAGTTTGTGCACGACTGGGACAGGCTCACAGACAGGTACTCAAGATGCTGTGTGTGCAGCAGCACCAAACACATGGCAAAGCAATGTGATGCTGCCCAAGGTGGAAAAGGAGACTCACCCACGACGCCTACGACAGGGAAGTCCACTGGCAAGGGCAAGTCAAAAAGTAAAGGAAAGGGCAAGTCTACGGAGAATACCACTCCTGAAGGCCAAGATAAGGCAGCAGTGAAAACCCAACAGGTGGTTGAATCAACCTCTCCAGATGGGACAACCTCGGCGCCTACGACATCCACAGTAGCACAAGCTTCAACATCGAGCTCTACGACCTCGACGGGGGGAGTCATGGAGGATGTCACGACGCTGTTGAAAGTTTGCAGGTGACACAGGGTGGAGGACAAGAACCAGGACTTCGAGTTTGCCAGGTTCGAAAACTCCAACCACATCAGGAGGGAAGTGCAACACACTGTCTTCGTCAAACTCGAGGTGGAGATGAATGGCAACGAGCACAACCAGTGACAGTGAAGCTGGCAACAGGAGCAGTTCAACTGAGACAATGCAAAGAGACAGGAACGTTGCTGACAACGGAGCCAGTGCAAGCCATCGTACCAGTGAGCAAGATGTTGCAAACAGGCTACAACATGATGTGGACCAAGGACGAGTGCGTGGTGGAAAATGCGGGGCACCAACGGCTACCAGTCACCATGGTTCAAGGATGTCCAACAGTGAACAAGGAGTGTGGCGACATGCTCATGGACCTGATCGAGGTTGAGGAGAAGAAGAAGGCAAGGATATCTGCAATCTTGGGGAAGGAGTTGGAACCCGAGACGGAGTATGAGAAGAACGTTGCAGAAACACAGAAGATGTTTCCAGAAGTTCCAGCCTACTTGATTGAGAACGTAGCCTGTGACGGACAATGGAATGCAGATCGGTTGCCATGGAACAGAAGGAAGCGAAGAGCAATCGAGAAGGCGAAGTTCGTAGCACTTCACTTGTACTCAGGCGACGATGACAAAACTTGGAAGCAACTGGAACGACAAAGCCATGGCGTAGAGGTGATCCAGGTGGAGCTCAAGAAGGGTGCAGACATGCGGAACAACGACCTTACTTATGGCCTACCTGGAGGAGCTTGCAAGAGCAGGTCGCATCGACCAAGGTCGACAACGATACAGTTTTGTGGCTTAGGATGCTCAAACTGGTGAAGTTGACCAAGGACAACAACAGCAGAGCAACGGTGATGGTTGAACAGCCGCAAGATCCGCTGGACTACAGGGCCGATGATGAGGAGTTGCACAAAGGATATGGGTTTCCAACCTTTTTGCAATGGCCGGAGACGCTACAAATGGTCGAAGACTACAACCTCACAACGGTCAAGGTGGATCGGGGAAGCTTGGGGCATCCTACAACTAAGCCGGCAACTTTGCTCACCGACCTCGACCAGATCAAGGGGGTCGATGGATGGAAGATGCAAGGCCAACCTGAAAAAGTGGCCACAAGAACTTGAAAAAAGGATCCAGTTCTCTAAAAGAACTTGCTACCTGGGCAACGGGACTCAAAGGACTTCTCAGAGTGGCGATTCAGAGGTTGTCACAGGAGGAGACCATGGTGAAGGCCCTGACCCTGAAGGAGCAGAAGGAGATCATGGAAATGGAAGGAACATTTCCGTGCCGATCATCTACAATTCGCAAGGACTGTGAAGTATGTCTTCGTGCTGCAGGAGCAGATCGGCACAGGAAAAGGCTTCAATGCCCAACATCCTTCTGTCTGTCAATGGACATCATGGGACCATTTGTCCAAGGAAAGGATCAGGAGTTGAAGGGACCAAGATATGGTCTTGTGGCGACGTACACAGTTCCAATCGACAAACATGGAGCTCCTCTACCACAAGGACTGGCGGGACCTCACTTGCCACACCAACAAGGACGCGATGTGGAGGATGAACGTCGATGGAGGGACTTCTTGCAGGACAGAAAGTCTCAAAATGTCAAGAACTTGACGTTTGCAGTGCCTCTCAAGTCAAGACACAACGATGACTTGCTCCAAGCAGTCGCCCAGATCTACGTGAAGACCAAGACAATGGCACTCCCAGTTCAACGAGTTCATACGGACAGAGCTAAGGAATTTGTGGGCGAGGGATTTCAAAAGTGGATCAAAGACCATGACTTATTCCACACGATGAGCTCAGGAAGTGAACCACAAGGCAACGCCAGAGTCGAAAGGGAGGTCAGAGAGCTGAAACAAAGGATGAGAACGGTGCTGACAGCTTCAAGGGCACCAACACACTTTTGGCCTCTTGCGCTCCGACATGTTGGCGAACAGAGACGACGGCGACAGCTACAAGCTTTGGGTGTTACAACACCAGAACTTTTGCCGTTTGGGATGAAGGCAATGGCCAAACAGAAGTTGTGGCAAAAGGGAGATAACACACTGAAGTATCCCATGCAGAAAGTCAGATTGTGGGGACCTGCAGCTGATATGGCAACTACGTATCTTGGCTACTATGTTCAAAGCGATGAGACTGGCAAGTTCTTCAGATCGACAGTGGTCAAGGTCTTTGCAGATCAGCCCTACAAGCTGGACGTGGTGATGCACCACGGGGGGAGGAAGAAGGACCTGGAGGCCAACTTCAACTGGATGACCCTGGAGATGAAGAAAATCGCCGACTGGATGACGATCAGCAAGGTCCACAACAACCTGAAGAAGCACAACAAGCTCAAGCGGCTGACGATCTTCAAGCTCGAGATGATGAAGTTCAAGAAGGTATCTTCGACGATGAGATCGAAGAACCCCTACAACAAGAACGTCGGAGGATCGACATCACCAACACCAAAAGAGGATTGTCGCTCTATCCGCGCTTGGAGATCAACGCGGTGTTGGAAGAGGTTGACGAAGGAAGACAGGCCTTGGGAATTGAGGAACCAGCACCACCGGAACAGGCAAAGCGGTGGAGACTATATGGTAAAGGACCTGAAGTGCGACCTCATCACCCCAGGATCTTCAAGATCGATGCAACAGGTGCAGATCAAGTTCGACTTCTTGGGGATGAAGAACATCGTCGAGCACAATGCGAAGAAGCAATCGAGCGCATGATGGTCAACCAGCACGAGGAGCACGCAAGATGGGTGCGTGATGTCATTGTTGGGATTGAGGATGAGACAGTATGTCCACAAGAAGTGGAGTTGGCGTTGAGCCTCAAGGAAGAACTGAACGCTATGGAAGAGAACCTGGTTCAGTCGGCAAATATGAGGAAGTTGGAGGTGGAAGCTGAGCAACAAGTTCTGCAAACACGCCTTGTGGCAATGGATGAAGTTTGTCGGAATCTGGAAGAATGGAAACCGGTCTTCGCGGAGGAGGTCAACAACCTCAAGATGAAGGCGGTGGAAGCCATCAACGAGAACCACAGTTCCAACAACTTCTTCAAGGAGACAAAGAGGTGGAATGCCTGCCGATGAAGGCAACCGCCACACTGAAAGCCCCTGCGAAGAAGAGAAGAGTCGTGGTGTGCGGAAACTATGCCATGGCACGGGAGAATGAGGAGTTGGCGAATGCCGCAAGTGGATGCGACTCACTGGCGATTCGGACCATAGGAGCCATTGATGTGAAGGCCGCATTCCTGCAAGCTCCCCGAAGAACCCAGATGACCAGGGTAACAGTTGGAACCACCTTCACTACTCAAGGCCATGAACTTGGTGAAGCCTGATGAGACATGGATCACCAAGCAAGCACTATATGGACTCATCGAGTCGCTGGGAGATTGGGGGCAACACCGCGATGAGCAGCTCCCACACCTACGATGGCGGCATGCTGGACAGGAGTTCACCCTCAAGGAGACGAAGGAAAGGCATGTTTGGGCAGTGCGACGAGTTGGTGCGCCAGCGACTGAGGACAACCACGGTTTCGTGCTTGTGTACGTGGACGACATGCCACTTTTTGGGGACACTGTGCGGTGAAGTCACTATGGGAATGCTCACCATTGGAACTCTTGGGCGAGACAAAGGAGTTGCGGTTTTGTGGCATGGAACTGAGAAAGTACAAAAGCGGGGTGTTCCTGAGTCAAACGGGTTATTTGGTGGAGATGCTGCAGCGCTACGAGGTGCAAGGAGTGGAACCTTACCCATTGCCTAAGGTTGAGGATGGGGAGGACGAGGAACCAGATCTCAAGGCGTTGAGGCGTGCCCAGACTCTAGTGGGTGAACTGTTGTGGGCAAGTACAAGAGCAAGACCGGATGTGGCATTTGCAGCAGGGCTACTTGGTCGTCTTGCTCATCGACGTCCCAACCACGCCGTGGGGAAGCACCTACTCAAGTACCTGCAAGGCACAACTGACTATGGCTTGAACTATCAACCTGGGGATATGGAGATGGTCAGCTACCACGTACAGCGGACAGACAGGTGATGTATGCCGACATTTCCTATGCTCCTCCCCATGAACAATACAGGTCAATCATATCCAAGGAGTTGCGGGACAATGGACTGGCAAGACGTTGCTGTGGGATAGCTGCAGGCAGGCCTGTGTCACACAGAGCGCGGCGGAGAGCGAGTTGGAGGGTTACTCATCTGCGCATCAAGCTGGTGAAGCGCTGAGCGCATTGATTGAGACGGTTAACAACAACCAATCGCTCCAGAAGCTGCTCTATGGCGACAACAAGGCAGCTCTTTCAGCAACGGGGTCAGAAACCGGACCTTGGAGGAGAAGGCACTTGCGCATCAGAGCACATGCGTTGAGAGAAGCAGTCAGGAGACCAGAACTGGGATGGCAGGCACGTCACATGCCGATGGACTCACGAAGGCTCTGGTGGGCGTAGCTTTCAATGCGTTTAGATTGAGAGCAGGAGTCATCAAGAGGAAGACGTGTGACAATCTTCAGGACAAGGACAACGTGAAAAAGAATAACAAGGTCACTGACGAGACCCACGCTCCACAGAATGACAAGGTCATTGAGGAGAAGCACGTTCCAAAGAATGTCAAGGCTTCTGCGGAGATTGCAATTCCAAAGAGCCCCAACGTTCAGGACAAGTTTGAGGTGACAATGAATAACGTGGCCAACCACCCTGCCAACATCAAGGCTTTTGACTTTGACAAGACAGTCCAGATGGCCAAGACCTACCTCGATGAAGATGTACCTTCAAGCACAAGCTGAAAGTCAGCTTGGGGGGAGTCAATGGAGTGATGAAGATTGAAAAACTCTACAAGCGCTGGGACTATGTGGTGCACTTCTCCTACTGAGAGGACGGATGAAATCAGGGCTGTTGCTGCTAATCGCAGTTGCCCTTGTGTCAAAGAAAAGACCCAGAGTGGGATCGCAAGAACAATCAAAAGCTGAAGCAAACAAGAACAAAGCGGGATGGATGGAACAAGAGGCACTGGCCAACAAGACTTCAAAAGACCCCAAAAAGACCCAAAAGAAAAGAATAGAGCAACCCCAAAGAAGGCTGAAGAGGCACAGCCACCCAAAAGGGATAAGGACCAAGGCCACCCAATAAAATGTTCCAGGTTGGGGGGAGTAGTGAATGTCCCTGGATGCTCATCCACGCATCGGGCGCGGCCGAGTGCAAGCAATGGGGTGGAGTCGTCATGGCCACCACAAGGTGCTCTGCAGCGGCAATCAGCGCATGAGATTGGTGGAGGGCAATCAGTGCAGGAGATTGGTGGGTGGCAATCAGTGCATGTGACTGGAGGATTGCAATCAGTGCATGTGACTGGAGCATCGCAATCAGTGCGTGAGGACAAGATGCCGATGGTGAAGGCATTACAATATCATGGAGATCCTGACGATCCGATTGAAGACGAGGAGTCAGAAACGGACCCTGGTGTGCCATTCCCTCATGGGGGCGATGACGGGAATGAGCAGTTGCAAAGAGTGGGAAGACTCCCACCTGGGTTCAAGGCACCTCCAGCGATATGGTGGCAACACCAAGCACTGAACGCACCACAACCATCTGTCTGTCTGTCTGTCTATCTATCTAATTATATGATTATAATTATATATAACTATATACACGCATACACGCACGAAAGTAACACACACACACACGCACAAAAGTAATCACATGTATATCAATATCAAAATGGGTATGATTCATGGTTTGGCATAAACATTCCATCTATATGGTAGAACATGATAGATCATGGACTAGCCATGCGAAAATACTTGCTAGTCTCGGCGATAGTCCCTGTACCCGGCATGAATCAAATCTCACACAGTCGAGGGACAACTAAGCTGAAGGTTCCACGAGTGTTGAAATTGAAGCCTTCGTGTCTCTTCGATCTAAGTGCAAGCTGAGTATCCATCGAAACCCATGCCTGGAGCTATAGTGGGGATGTTCTGGCACAGGACACGCAGCCGGCATCACACTGTCACTTCTCGCTGCACAAAAACTGGCAACATACACTTGCAAAATGAACAGGGAGAATTCTCTGAAAGTGTGATTTCAAGCTTTTCCATGGTTTCTTTGGCTCTCTGCAAGCTGGAAACACATTGCAAGTCCTTGTACGGATTGAATGGGTTCTCGGTGGTGGAAAGTGTGTTGTCCTGAAACAGGATTCCGATTTTGTTGCTTCTTGAATTGAATTGCCTCAAAATCTTGCGTTCAGCTTGTTTGAGCAGCCTTCTCATCAAATGGAATTGCGCGTGACCCACCGGAACTACACCACAATAATTACACCGGAATCAGGCCCCATCATGCCACATCAAACTTTGCGCCGAACGCATCATGGAGTTGCACTCAAACATCCTAGGTCCTAGTGCATCACAAAAGACCTGAGATTTGCGAACAGGCCCCCAACTTCTACACTGGACTGCAAGCCTTCAAAAATGAAACCATGACAATGACATTGAAACTGCCCCGGTCATGGTTTGGTCCAGCAAATCCATGATCTAGATTGATCTATCGTATTTGAAAGCGACTCCCGATGTGTTTCCTCTTGTCCGCTCACAGAAGACAAGCAGAGCAGCTTCTCTAGAAGCACAAGCGACCGCATGGCAACAAATCTATAACTGAAAGTGGGTCTGAAATATTCTGAACAGTGTTGTCTCAACATGGTTCCGACATGTTCAGACTTGTCTCTATGCCCATGCTTTGTGCAGCTCTTGGCTGAAAAGGGTGGAAAACGCAACTGCATATCTTTGCTGTAATTTTTTGCCACCTTGCCTGGGTAAACAGTTGGCTTCCATGCCAGAATAGCCAAAAGAAACTGCCGCACAGTGTTGGGGAGAAGTATGCCGGCACGGTAACAAGAGAAAGGGAAAAAACACCCTAACAATGGGCAACCAGCCAACTCAGAACAAACAAGTGGAGGCATCAGCCAACCAGTTAATTGAGCCAGATAATGACAATTCACCATGATGAAGAAAGGCAAGGTTGAGTGGAACATGGATGAGCTGCAGCGCAGCAGTTGATTGTGGAGCAACAACTAGTTCTCCGCTCAAGTTCTGTCATTCCAATGCTCATGATTTGGCGGGGTGTTCTGCACCCACGATCTTTGCGTGGGGCTCTTTGGCCGGACTTCGCCCGCAACCTCATACAACCAGTGGGCGACAGTAAAAAAAAATCAAAGAAACCCTGACTTGTACCATGTTGGGCCTTGCAGGTACGTTTCTACTGGAGACGATGAAAAACCACGAAACCAACAGCTGCCAAGAACACCTTGTTTCGACATTGCCAAAAGTAATTTGACAACCTGACACTGCAAAGCATACCAGGACGAGAAGAGACAGGGAACCACCGAGCAGCTCATGCGGATTCTGACCCCGAAGACGTTTGTGACTGCTCCTCCCAACGTTGCCATCGTGGCCATGAGCGCCGGCGCCCGCGGGCAGATCCCAGTTCTCTGGCGCAAAACAGGTGGATGGACCAAACCGCGCATGCCAAGCAGAAGCAAAGGCCACCACCTCAAAGCTTCGGCTCTGACCAAGTGCCACTGGCGTCACATCTGAAATGCGTCTTCAGGCAAAGCCCAAGGAGACAAATTCCAAAATCGCAGAACCTGTCCAAACTTACTGTAGTTGCTCAGTAGTGCAGTCACATGGTAATAAGCATGATGAGAATGGGTCAAGCACCATAGTAGACATGACCACCCGGAGCTATCCAGACCCAGAATCTGCATATTGGTAGCAGAGCGGTGATTGGTTTTGGTATGTGCTGGCTACAGTTTGTCTTTAATTCTGGCAACCTATTCCACGTATGGTTTCTCTGTGGGACTGATGTCCATCGCTGGTTTAGTAGCCGAAAAGCTGACCAAAAGTACCACTGCCAGGACGTAGTTTTGAGTTCCGCGTGTAAGCAACACTGTTTTCCAGGCTCCACTTGCTGCCACAGGGAATCTGGAGTTGATCCTTGGCATCAAAGTCGCTCGTGCTTGACGGATCTTGAGGGTATGTAAATTGCAAGCTGCAGTAGGAACGTTGGACGTCCTTGTTGGGCTTTACAGTAATATTGGAAGATGCAGGAAACAAATGCAACCAGAACATCACAACCATCTAGCGATAGTATGATAGTGATAGTGGTTTTGGGTGATTCATCAAGCTATTGTCTTTCACGGCTGTCCCAGATGTGAGCCCACGACATTGCAAAATATGGAATAACACAAGCAGCTTTAACAAACAAGCAAGAATGTAGGGTTTCAGATTCACCTGCGACTCTTTGAAACAATGTCTCTTGTTGAGGACTCGCTTCAACAAATTCCGAGGATCTTCAAATCAACGATTTGACCTTTCTTGAGCGGCGTGGAGATTACCTGATCTGCCAAATTGTGATTGCGCAGGTACGATCCACCTCCCGTGTGCAAACACTCACAAGTCTGCAACAGAAATATCGTCTGGCCACCCACTATCCTTTCAAGCCTATGTCTGGTCTCAATGACTGGCGCATGAAGTGTTCATCGACCCACCTATCTTTAAGCTTTGGCTCTAATTATTGAGAATGTAGAAAGACAAAACGGACTGAGCATGAACAACTGCCAACAAACATAACACACGGTAGCCAATTAGACTTGCTAGTAACTGATTGAGCCGCATACCTGATTTTTGATCCCTGCTCAACTCTTCTGCCTATCCACCATTATCGACCCCAACCAACTAGAGAGGATCAGTGCAAAAGTCAAACATTTCTTTGCGCAACTTTCAATCAATTCCGCTCTGAAAGCGAGGGGAACAGCATCAGCATGGAACAGCTGTCCTGCCGCTGCAACAAGTCACTCCATAGGGCTTGCTTGCTCGATTGAGGAAGTTGGGCAACATCCAGGCAATGAACCGCTTGCTTTGAACCCCCAGCTCTCTGCCTCAAAGCTGGAATCTTAACAAAAGTCAGCAGCAATAGGACTCAAACACATGCAGGAACTGAGCATTAGATTCACTTCAACTAGCCCAATCCTATTGTTACGCCTGGCCTGTGTGTTGCCCGGAAGGTTCGAATGGCGTTTAAACATGTTTAAGCATTATCCTTCAACATGCTCAGACACCTGCGCAGGGCCAGGGTTTTGAAATTTCCCAGACGACGAACCTTAAACCCTAAAACCCTAAACCATCCTAAACCCTAAAACCCCAAACCCCGAAAATTCCAAACGCTAAAACAGGCGAGAGCGCCGCTGACCATATACATGGGCGCTCGAGCCTCTGGCTCGAGGCTAGGCCTCGACGCCACTTCGAATCTAAGGGCCTGCTAGGGTCAAGCCTAGCAGGACACAGCGGCGCCAGCCGGCCACGCCTGACGGCTACTACCCTCTGGCGTAAGCCAGTAAAGGATAACCCCAAACCGCGAACTTGTCGGGGTCACGGAGGTGGTACTTAACAACATGCCTTAAAATTGGAGCTAGCTGAGCCTTTCTGAACCTTTCCAGGCGCTAAAACAGCGAGTTTTAGCCTTGATTTGATCTTCAAAACGTTGTACTTTTTGCTTCCTCTCCTTTTTCACCTAAGTCATCTTGCCATCCCCAAGAGTGGGTTCCCACATGCGCTCAAGCATGGTGGGTTCCCCCAACGCGTTTGTGAGGGTAGTGAATCCACTGGGAACCTTCCAGGGTTCCACTTAGAATGGAACCCAAAACCCTAAAAGTTGTTAATTTGGGTGGTTGGGGTGGGACAACTAAGCAGAGCGAGCGCGCTTCGAGCGGGGGGCTTGCCAGCAGATTGACAGCCGCCCGCACACGCGCACTTTTGCACACCCTAAACCCTAAAACCTGGGCTCTGAAAACTTTGAATCCTAAACTGGAAAACAGTGCGTATATATACGCTGTATTTTCTGCAATCTCTCCTATCGAATCTAGGCCGAAACGACATTCTCAATGTTAGTCTGGGCAACACACGGCGTCTGTGGGTATTATTACTTACATTTATCAAAACATATCTAAATCCATGAAACAATTCGGCACACACACACACATGTGCCCACACACACACACACACACAAATAGCACGCGGGAGCCCGTGAGTTGTCAAAACCTCAACATCGCCTTTTTAACTCTGCAAAAGCTGTGCGCCTGGCAGGCGCTCCCCAGCCACACCAACAAACTTTTCCCAGCGGTGAGGCGGCGCCACCCTTGACAGCATTGCTGGGACCGAAGGTGGCCAAGGTGCTGGTAGTAGTTGGGTAGCGCTCATAAAGCCAGGAGATGTTCGGCTTCTTCAAATACCTCGTTTGGAAAAATGATACCGGGGATGGGATAAGTATGCTAGGTGTGGAGAGAAAAATTGGAATCCTTGCAACAAGTGAAGTCTTATAAACCGCTTGATGGGGCCGGTGATCAAAATGGCATTGGCTCTCAGGACCAAGCTACAGACGTGCGCTGTCCTTTTCACACTAAATTCGAAAGAAAACTTATTGTTTCTTATGTCTCTTGAAGAAGAAGTGTCACATGGCCAGACATGGCAAGGTAGCATTCTCCCCGTGCAAGTTGTGACTTTCAAGCGACAGGTTTTCTAATGAGCTGGGGATGATATTTGCCACAGAGGCAAAACACGTTTCCAAAAGGATTGATGGCAAAGGGCTCGGGCGGGTTCTGAAAGTTTCTCCAGACCGGCATCTGCTCTGACTCGGTATCGATGGGAACGTCTTGGATCTCAAAAGTATCCTTGCAACTGGCACAAGCCCAGTTGGGTTTGTCCGAAAATAGGGTACCTGAAAAGCCAATTACGTATCATCCTTTCCCTATCAAAATGGCAATGCCCTATTTCCGCTACAGACCCATTTTCGTGACTCTTGGTAGTCTGGGATATATCACTTTTCCGGTCAGAACCGGTCAAAGGTATTGAGCACCAAGTCTTTTGAACCAGAAAAATGTGAGTGGACACGTCTACAGCCAGTGGCTGACCGACAATGTTGCAAAGCATGGGGCCTGAATGTATTGCCTAAGGCTTACACTAAGCCATGAATCATGCAAGGAGCACTCGGGCGGTCTGTGACAATATAATGCAGGCAAGCATGCAAAACCCTGATATCATAATCCAGCTTTTGAATATCCACGATACCTTCCCACACAAAGTGATGCTTGCATGCCAAAGGATCATTGAAAACAGATGTGGCAATCAGTCCACATGGAAAAATCTCTTCTCCAGATGCAGTCCAACCTGGAGCGTTTTGATGGATTGAAACTGGCAATATGCGAGAAATTTCATATGTGAGAAAATTGATGACGACAATTGTGCAGATGTGAGCACATGAGGTGTAGCCTCCCAGGTCCCATTCCCATCCGTCCCCATTCCAGTTGCAAGTAAATTTGTGAATTGCATTCTGACTTCAATGATGAACCTGAAAGGGAGGGTACCGAAGCAGGGAGCAAGTCGAAGCGGTTTTCTAAAGCGACTTCCAGCTTTGTCGGCAAAATCCATGGTCCAAGGTTCAGCGAAATCAACAATCATCAGCCGATCAATTTTACAACAAAATTTTCAGAATGTGTCCAGGGAACGGGATTCCTTTGAGCAGCGTCTGGACGCTTCTTCTGGCGCCATATGTCCATGAAGTTGCGGGTGTACCACAGAACCTGTTCTACAAGGAAGGGCAATAAGTTCACCCTCTCAAAAGTTGCATCCTTGCTCCGGTAATGCAACAAGTTGCAACTGAACATCTAAAAACTTCATAGCAGTCCTGTTTCAAAACTGGTGACATCTGGTGACTAAATCTGAGACAATCTGAGCTTCAGGCTCATATATGAAAAGTAGTTCTGCCAGAAAGGCTTCACCTGTGCAAAGCCAAACAAATTAGGAAGACGTTCGGATGTGGGCTGCTGGGGGTGCGCTCTAAACAGTTCTGAACTGCTATCAGCTGCTGTTTCCGGTGGCATTAACTCGATATAACTCGATTAACTTAACTGCCTCGTAGTACACTTGGATGGGCGGTTCGAGGTCTGCTGGCAGCTCCAGGGAATATGTGCATTCTCCAGGTGCATGGCAGGGAAGGACCATATTTTGACCCATAAACGCCCAGGAACCTCAGGAAGTTGCCAGCTCAGACCAGCTCAGCAGGCGTCAGATCATGCTTTTGATCATACTTTGCTGAGAGTTCTGAGAGGGTAGCGCACACGGCTCCCACCCAAAGCAAGCTGACTGTTTCTAAATTAGTGTCATTCATTGCCGAGTCAATGTGCTCAGTGAATCATCGCTGGCATCTGAATAGCACCCAAGCTGCTGCTGCGTGCCTTGATCTTCTCATGGGGGCCATCATATAAGATCCGTATTTGAGAAGCACTGATCGACACAAACAATGTGCCTGAATGGCAAGCTACTTCAGGCCGTGGGGTCATTTTGGCATCGTGCCTCACCCAACCTATGTGTTTTAATTGCTTGTTGAAACCTTTCATGCAAAGCTGACGTTCATATCAAACCCGAGCCAGAAAGCGGAATTGGACATATATTATGCCGTTGCGTCGTTGTGCCAACAAAGTGAAAAAACAACACATCTATCTCTGATATTCTCTGATGATTGCAAGTCCTCCTTCATTCACAATTGCAATGCCCGGGCATCGCAACACGGCTCTCTGGAGAGTTGGCCACCAAGTTGCCCAGTCCCATGCACAAGAACAGCAAACCAATAGCGCTGGAGGATGCGAAAACCACCTTCCAATCCAAAACAAACCTCAAACGAACTTCGAAGCACATACGCATGATGGACATGCTATTAGCGTTGAAACGTGCTCTACAAAGGGTGGCAATGTGCTAGATCGGTTCACAAACACTGAGCTCAAGGGGGGCAACCTCTTTGATCAAATAACTCAAAAGAAAACATTTATGACCTTTGGGTCTGGACATATTTGAGATGCAAGGATAGAATAGAATAGGCAAGTATTAGAAAAAATGCCCTGTATTTCCATGCCAAGCAACTGCACGGATTTCATTGTCTGTTGAGCAAAGGGTGTCGTGCTCGGCCGGTTGAACTTGACGCTTGCAGTGCCTTGGTCACAAAACCACATAGATCACAGCATCCAGCAGATCTTAATCACTGAAGTGTTCCGAAATGCTCTATGCTCGGAAGTTGTCTCTAATGTCCATAGACCTCAGATTCAATTCAGCAATCCTTCAGTCCTACAGCAAGGGTGGGTCTATCTTTAATTTGCAAGCTGCTCGTCGCCAAAGACATAAAATGCTCTGAAAAGGGGCGCGCGCGCATACCCAAACGTGTATAATTTCTGCCGGCCCCAGCCGACGGCAGGGGGAACGAGTCACAAAAACATTACAAGCAGCAAGTAGGCGAACAGTCGATTGTTGGAGTCCTGAATGTGAAACACAGGGAGGAAAAAGCAGAAAGTCAGCGGCAAGAGCCAGAAGCTAGAACAAAAGGCCGGAAAGCAAAAGGCACACGGCCAGGAAACAAGAAGCAAGAAAACCGGAAACACAAGAAAACCGGAAACAGGAGACAACGTCGTGTAAGAGTAAGAAAGTCAGCGGCGAGAGGACAAAGCCAGCATACAAGGAGGGAGACCAAGAAGCCAGCACAAGACCAAGGCCTGGTCCGTCCCTCAGTGGCAAGGTGTTTCGGTGTTGCGAGGCGAAGGTTTTGGAGCTTTGAAGGCTGCAATTTGGTGCTAGTTTCTTGTCGGTTCAGAAAGCAACGTTAGGCACAGGCAGCCGCACGCCGAAGGCTTGGTCTGTCCTTTAGATGCATGGTGTTTCGGTGTGGCAAGGCCAAGCTTTTGGAGGCTTGAAGGCGGCAATTTGGAGCTAGTTTCTTGTCGGTTTAAAAAGATTGTCAATTACAGGACCGGATAACCCCCCATGTTACCAACTTCTCTAGACTTAGACTGAGCATAGGAAAGCAAGAAGGGAAGAGGAAGTATAAGAGCGATGGAGGAGTGATGGTGGGTGAGTTTTTTTTTTGGTGTGTGTGTGTGTGAACCATCTGAAAAGATGTAAAACTTCTAACTTAGCAGGGGGTGCCGGGGGCACTGATGAGACCGGCACTAACAATCGACGTACCTGCCTCTTTTTCATGTCAATTTTCTGCATTGGGACGTGGCTAACCCAAGAACCACCTTGCCGTTTCCAAACAACCTGATTTCCAATTTCTCGTTTTGCACTGTTTTCGCAATCTGAATTACCAATGTCACTAGAGGATGAACGCGCTGCATCAGAACAAGTTAATTCTTCGAGCAAGGACGTAGAAAGATTACCTTTACACAGTTTCTCACTTCTAATCATCCAAAACGTTCCTGTCAGGTTTACTGAGGTGTTTTTGCACGTACGATGCATTCCACATCAATAATTCGATAAGCTATTTCTGAGCAAGTGTGTCCTTCATAGCGATTTTCGTCAAGATGGTATGAACCCTTCGGGGAAAGTCTTTCCAGGCTAACGATTGACGGTAAAACGATGTCTGAATTTACACTTTTGAATTAGTAATTGGTTTAAGTAAAGTGAACTGCCGGCCTTTTTCGATTCTCACCTGTCGACATCGTTTTGTGTTGAAACTGCTGCCCGCTGTACCAGGGAATCACCCATTTTACTGGAGAGCATTCGCTTAGCCGGAAGCCACGTTAACAACCTTCCTGTTGCTTCAAGAGACTGCCCGCAGCCATTTTCACATGACATTCCAGGCAACAGGACATGCTTTACAGGTGTGGTCACTTCCTTTTGGTTACTCTGGTGAGGTTCAATTGTACACGTAATTCAGGGGTTGACTACTTCAGCTGTCCATAGGGTTGATCTGAACTCAGGCCATTGAGCCTAACGAGGGGAAACTTGCACGCTAATGTGGATGCATCATGTCATTAACTAGTTCCCCATGGGTCCCTATTTCATGTGTTCTTGCGTTCTCCTTTCTCCAGGTAGGTTTGGCCCGTTGCGTGCTGAGGTTGATGTAGGTTTTCGCCGTGTCAGGTTGGTTCAGGCGCTTCTGTCTTCCCCCTCCTCCGCTGGTCTTGTTCCGTTTTCCGTCGGCCTCCGCTTTTCTTTGCCCTTGCCTTTTCAGGGTTGCCCGTTTTGGGCTAGGTTTCTTGTGTTGGTGTTTGCTCTTTCCCTCTTCTTTTGCGTTCCCCTCTTTGCGTCCTGGTTAAGTAACTTTCATCTCATTGTCATCTTCACCTCATCTTCATTTCCCTTCCTCTTCATTTTCATCTCATTGTCGGGACCTTAATTTCCCACCCTCCTGCGGGAGGGTGTGTGTGTGTGTGAACCATCTGGAAAGATGTAAAACTTCTAACTTAGCAGGGGGTGCCGGGGGCACTGATGAGACCGGAACTAACAATCGACGTACCTGCCTCTTTTTCATGTCAATTTTCTGCATTGGGACGTGGCTAACCCAAGAACCACCATGCCGTTTCCAAACAACCTGATTTCCAATTTCTCGTTTAGCACGGTTTTCGCAATCTGAATTACCAATGTCACTAGAGGATGAACGCGCTGCATCAGAACAAGTTAATTCTTCGAGCAAGGACGTAGAAAGATTACCTTTACACAGTTTCTCACTTCTAATCATCCAAAACGTTCCTGTCAGGTTTACTGAGGTGTTTTTGCACGTACGATGCATTCCACATCAATAATTCGATAAACTATTTCTGAGCAAGTGTGTATGTATGTGCATGCACAGGTGAGTGAGTGAGAATGTGAGTGAGTGAGTGGGTGGGTGAGTGAGTGGGTGAGTGAGTGAGTGAGTGGGTGAGTGAATGTGTGAGTGAGCAAGGGAAGAGGAAGTATGATAGTGATGGAAAGGCGATGGTGGGTGAGTTTATGTGTATGTATGTATGCAAATGATGTATGTGTGTGGTGTGTGTGTGTTTGAGTGAGTTTATGTGTGTGTGTGTGCGATGTATGTGTGAATGATGTATGTGTGTGTGTGATATGCTGTGTTCATGTTGTGCGTGCCTGTGGACATAAGGGAGTATGTGGGTGTAGGTGTTCATGCATGCGTGTACGTGAGACCCAAGGGACGCCAGGGCATACATCCGACCCCTTGGCAATGCACATTGTCCCACGCCTGCCACGTAAAAGAGGCGGAGACCCAAGGGACGCCAGGGCGTACATCCGACCCCTTGGCAATGCACATTGTCCCACGCCTGCCACGCAAAAGAGGCGGAGACCCTAAGGGACGCCAGGGCGTACATCCGACCCTTGGCAATGCACAGTGTCCCACGCCTGCCACGCAAAAGAAGCGGAGACCCAAGGGACGCCCGGGCGTACATCCGACCCCTTGGCAATGCACATTGTCCCACGCCTGCCACGCAAAAGAGGCGGAGACCCAAGGGACGCCAGGGCGTACATCCGACCCCTTGGCAATGCACATTATCCCACGCCTGCCACGCAAAAGAGGCGGAGACCCAAGGGACGCCAGGGCGTACATCCGACCCCTTGGCAATGCACATTGTCCCACGCTTGCCACGCAAAAGAGGCGGAGACCCAAGGGACGCCAGGGCGTACATCCGACCCCTTGGCAATGCACATTATCCCACGCCTGCCACGCAAAAGAGGCGGAGACCCAAGGGACGCCAGGGCGTACATCCGAACTGTTGGCAATGCACATTGTCCCATGCTTGCCACTCAAAAGAGGCGGAGACCCAAGGGACGCCAGGGCGTACATCCGACCCTTGGCAATGCACATTGTCCCACGCCTGCCACGCAAAAGAGGCGGAGACCCAAGGTGAGTGAGAAGTGAGTGAGTGAGTGAGTGAGTGAGTGCGTGGGTGAGTGAGTGAGTGAGTGAGTGAGTCGGTGAGTGAGTGAGTGTGAGTGAGTGAGTGAGTGATCATTGTCCCAGAGGTGTGAGCGAGTGATGTGAGTGTGTGTGTCTGTGTGTGTGTGTGGGAAACCCTGAATCAAAGGGTAAAAGCAGGGGGCCCGTGGACGCATAGATGGCACGGGCCAACGAAGACCCATCTATGTCGTCGTGAAAACGTACCTGCAAAACTCTCATCGTCAGAAATGGCAAGGTGGCCAAGCCAAAAACCACCCATGCCGACATGCCATGCCATGACATGACATGCTAACGTAACAACATGACATGATGGTTATCATTTCATCTCATTTCACCCTCTCCAAGTTCAAGGAGTTTACCAAAGTGTGTCTTTCATGCACCCGGATCTCTGACAAAGTGCCGGGGAAGCTTGGTGGTTCGTCCGCCGGGGATACCAGGTTACAAGAATAAATCCAGACATAATGTTGCCAGAAGCCAAATCCGCACAAGCATCCAGAGTCCGCACAAGCATCCAGAAGTCTCCATCAAGAATTGAATGCTTCTCAGAATAAATCCAGAGGACACGCCAGAATAAATCCAGAGTGAAAATTTCATCCCTCAGAATAAACCCGTGTCATCCCATGACTCATGATTCATGTTCACTTTGCAATCATGTAAAAACCTAGCACTGAGAGAAACAGCACCATGCCGTTGCCAGCCTTTTTTGTCGGTCGTTGGTTGTTTGCTGAACAGCCGGAAATTCGGATGCAGTGGTTTGCTTTTGTCAGCCTTCTTCAGTGGACATTGAACGCCGTGAAACTTCCTTTGGTTTTTGTTGGAGCTAGAAAAATGCCACACCTCATTCATGACACCCACGGCCCATGTACACAGAGATTTGAGCACCACGTTCCATGTCATGACCTAGCACTGAGAGAAACAGCACCATGCCGTTACCAGCCTTTTTTGTCGGTCGTTGGTTGCTTGCTGAACAGCCGGAAATTCGGATGCAGTGGTTTGCTTTTGTCAGCCTTCTTCAGTGGACATTGAACGCCGTGAAACTTCCTTGTTTTTTTGTTAGAGCTAGAAAAATGCCACACCTCATTCATGACACCCACGGCCCATGTACACAGAGATATGAGCACCACGTTCCATGTCACAACCCAGCACCGAGAGAAACAGCGCCTTGCCGTTACCAGCCTTTTTTGTCGGTCGTTGGTTGTTTGCTGAACAGCCGGAAAATCGGATGCAGTGGTTTGCTTTTGTCAGCCTTCTTCAGTGGAAATGGAACTGAACGCCGTGAAACTTCCTTGGGTTTCTGTTGGAGCAAGCAACGCAACGTCACGGACATTTGAGCACCATGTTCCATGTCACACACAACACAACACCGTGGAAACAACACGCTTGATTACGGACTATTTTTTGGTTTGGAAATCGTGCCCTAGCAGCTTGCTGTGCGTGGGAAACCCTGAATCAAAGGGTAAAAGCCGGGGGCCCGTGGACGCATAGATGGCACGGGCCAACGAAGACCCATCTATGTCGTCGTGAAAACGTAACTGCAAAACTCTCATCGTCAGAAATGGCAAGGTGGCCAAGCCAAAAACCACCCATGCCGACATGCCATGAACGTAACAACATGACATGATGGTTATCATTTCATCTCATGTCACCCTCTCCAAATTCAAGGAGTTTACCAAAGTGTGTGTGTGTGTGCGTGTCTGTGTGTGCACATTGTCCCACGCCTGCCACGCAAAAGAGGCGGAGACCCAGGGACGCCAGGGCGTACATCCGACCCCTTGGCAGTGTACATTGTCCCACGCCTGCCACGCAAAAGAGGCACGCTTGCCACGCAAAAGAGGTGCGTACATCCGACCCCTTGGCAACTCACATTGTACCACGCCTGCCACGCAAAAGAGGCGGAGACCCAAGGGACGCCAGGGCGTACATCCGACCCCTTGGCAATGCACATTGTCCCACGCCTGCCACGCAAAAGAGGCGGAGACCCAAGGGGTGCCAGGGCGTACATCCGACCCTTTGGCAATGCACATTGTCCCACGCCTGCCACGCAAAAGAAACGGAGACACAAGGGACGCCAGGGCGTAGCGGAGACCCAAGGGACGCCAGGGCGTAAATCCGACCCCTTGGCAATGCACATTGTCCCACACCTGCCACGCAAAAGAGGCGGAGACCCAAGGGACGCCAGGGCGTACATCCGACCCCTTGGCAATGCACATTGTCCCACGCTTGCCACACAAAAGAGGCGGAGACCCAAGGGACGCCAGGGCGTACATCCGACCCCTTGGCAATGCACATTGTCCCACGCCTGCCACGCAAAAGAGGCGGAGACCCAAGGTGAGTGAGAAGTGAGTGAGTGAGTGAGTGAGTGAGTGAGAGTGAGTGAGAGTGAGTGAGAGTGAGTGGGAGTGAGTGGGAGTGAGTGGGAGTGAGTGGGAGTGAGTGGGAGTGAGTGGGAGTGAGTGGGAGTGAGTGGGAGTGAGTGGGAGTGAGTGAGTGAGTGAGTGGGAGTGAGTGAGTGAGTGAGTGGGAGTGAGTGAGTGAGTGAGTGGGAGTGAGTGGGAGTGAGTGGGAGTGAGTGAGTAGGAGTGAGTGAGTGGGAGTGAGTGAGTGGGAGTGAGTGAGTGGGAGTGAGTGAGTGGAAGTGAGTGGAAGTGAGTGGAAGTGAGTGGAAGTGAGTGAGTGAGTGAGTGAGCGAGCGAGCGAGCGAGTGAGTGGAAGTGAGTGAGTGAGCGGAAGTGAGTGAGTGAGTGGAGTGAGTGAGTGGAAGTGAGTGAGTGAGTGGAAGTGAGTGAGTGAGTGGAAGTGAGTGAGTGAGTGGAAGTGAGTGGAAGTGAGTGGGAGTGAGTGGAAGTGAGTGGAAGTGAGTGGAAGTGAGTGGAAGTGAGTGAAAGTGAGTGGAAGTGGAAGTGAGTGGAAGTGGAAGTGAGTGGAAGTGAGTGGAAGTGAGTGGAAGTGAGTGGAAGTGAGTGGAAGTGAGTGGGAGTGAGTGGGAGTGAGTGGGAGTGAGTGGAAGTGAGTGGAAGTGGAAGTGAGTGGAAGTGAGTGGGAGTGAGTGGAAGTGAGTGGAAGTGAGTGGAAGTGAGTGGAAGTGAGTGGAAGTGAGTGGAAGTGAGTGGAAGTGAGTGGAAGTGAGTGGAAGTGAGTGAGTGAGGAGTGAGTGAGTGAGTGAGTGAGTGGAAGTGAGTGGAAGTGAGTGGAAGTGAGTGGAAGTGAGTGGAAGTGAGTGAGTGGAAGTGAGTGAGTGGAAGTGAGTGAGTGGAAGTGAGTGAGTGGAAGTGAGTGAGTGGAAGTGAGTGAGTGGAAGTGAGTGAGTGGAAGTGAGTGGAAGTGAGTGGAAGTGAGTGGAAGTGAGGGGAAGTGAGGGGAAGTGAGGGGAAGTGAGGGGAAGTGAGTGAGTGAGTGAGTGAGCGAGTGAGTGAGTGAGTGGGTGAGTGATTGATTGAGTGAGTGAGTGAGTGAGTGGAAGTGAGTGAGTGAGTGGAAGTGAGTGAGCGAGTGGAAGTGAGTGGAAGTGAGTGGAAGTGAGTGGAAGTGAGTGAGTGAGTGGAAGTGAGTGGAAGTGAGTGAGTGAGTGGAAGTGAGTGGGAGTGAGTGGAAGTGAGTGGGAGTGAGTGAGTGAGTGGGTGAGTGAGTGAGGGAGTGAGTGAGTGAGGGAGTGAGTGAGTGGAAGTGAGTGGAAGTGAGTGAGTGGAAGTGAGTGAGTGAGTGGAAGTGGAAGTGAGTGGAAGTGAGTGAGTGGAAGTGAGTGAGTGAGTGAGTGAGTGAGTGAGTGAGTGAGTGGAAGTGAGTGAGTGAGTGGAAGTGAGTGGAGG